GTTCAGTACTGATAGGTTTGAGAGTAAGTGTATCTATGGCTTGATGTCTGCTAAGTTGATCTATGTTGTGGTTTTGTGCTGCGATTTTTTGATAGAAAGCAAGGTATAGATAGAAATAGTAACATAGTAACTGTGGAGTTTATAATTAACTGTTTTAGATGTGTTTGGTGAACGAGCAGCTTTTTCAGCTGAAGTTGCTAACTTGTCAAGTAGTTTGGTTAGAATTTGTTTGTTAAAGGTTGCTTCATGTTTACCATCAATATAGAAAATAGATGGGTCAAATGTAAGATCTTCATTGTCTTGTTTAGGATAGGTTATATAAGATCTATCAAGAAGTGCTTTAAATAGTTGCTTGAAGTTGTGTCTGTATTGAGGTTTTTGAAGGTTTAGATTATTGTCTGTTTCTTTGGCTTTGTCTTTGTCAGTGTTATTAATAGTTTTAGCAAAAGAACAGGAAGTATCTCTGCATGTAAGAATATGATGATTTGTATGTTTAATGGCTTCATTAGGCGTTGAATAGAATTGTTAGGTTTGTTGAAGTCCAAGGAGATAGGTAAAAGTTCTTTGAGATGTTGAACAAAGGCCTGTTAGAATTGGTATCGTAAAGAGTTATAAACTTTTGTTTTGTCTATAGGCTATTCAAATTGGCGGCTATATTGTGGAAAGAAGTTGTCGAACCACTTATTAAAGTGTTCAAGTGAGTTTGATAGGGATGGTATATTAAATTTCTCATTGAAAAGATTTTTAGGAATATTGAATTTGAGGTAGATATTAAATTTGGTATCAGATTTGATTTGAAGATATTTTTCATCTTTATCATAGCTAGTTATTATGGAGGATATTTTAAATCTTTTTGGTCTAAGTTTGAAGTCCTCTGCAAATTTGATATAGTTGATAGATTGGTAATTGTCTGATAAGTATAAGTGAAGGTGAGCCAGGTTAATACAGAATTGTAATCTGTTTTAGGTTTTGTAAGGAGGTATAGTTGCAGAAGAAGCAAAGATTTTTAGATAGTTTAGTTTGGTGAAAAGGACTGTGATAAAAGTAAGTGTAAGCTTTTTGAAGGTTTCTTCAATAATATTGAATGGGATTGTAAGGGCTGTATCAGTGTTAGGGTTTTGTTGTTGAATAAATTCTGTGAGAAATTGTGTCTTTCTCCAGCTATCTTACAAATAATATAATGGAAGCTAGCTTTAAGAGCTTTTCGAGTAGGGGTTTCAGCACAAATTTCTTTGCCTGGATAGAAGTCAAATAGATGTTTTTTAAGGTGAATGAATATTTTTCTAGCCATATCTGTTTGTAATTGTGTGTATTTTTCCATTTCTTCAGAGACTGAAAAGTTAGCAAACCAGTCAAATGTTGGATTATTTTTGTTATTAGAAGCATTGGTGTTTGGTTGGTTAGAGTAAAAGGAGGTATTTGTATTTTGTTGATTAAAGGTAGTATCTTTAGTATTATCTGGTTGTTGTTCTGGTTGTTGTAAATAAGGTTGTTGTTGTTGTGTATCAGAAGTGTTAGTATATTGTTGTTGTTGCTGTGCGGTATTTGTGTTGTTAGATGTAGAATTATTGTCGATATCCATATTATCATTGGTGTTACTTCCTTGTTCAGTTGAAGTTAGAGGGCCAAGTTCAGAAGACAAAGGATTGTTGGGTCTGTACTCGTGTAAGGATTGTTGTAGTTTTTTAATAAATGAGTCTGCATTGGTTGAAGAGCCTTGTTGAGGGTTGTAAGAGGAGGAACTTTATTATGTAGTAAATTCAGTTTCAATGCAAGATTTATGATGAGGTTTGTCGTTAAACAATATAGTGTCGGCTGCTAAGTAGTGTAAATTATTGATTGATTTGCACATAATAGGTTTTTTATATTTAAAACATTCATGATTGTGTACGTCAGGTGTTGGAGATGCAGTTGGAGAAGGAGGGATAAATTGAGTAGCTTGCTCAATTTCTGCTGCAATATTTCTAAGTTTCTTGGTGTTTTTGACAGTAGTTGTATTTGTATCCTTTTCATAGACTTGGTTGTTTTGAGAAATAAATTGGATGTGGTATTTATCACAGATACAGGTAACAGTAGATGATATAAGTGGAGCTTGCAAGAAAAGTGTAGTTTTGGTTTTGTCTCTAAGTTCTGTAGAAACACAATTGGTAGGCCGTTTGTTAGTAGGAATTGGGCAAGATACATTAGCTGTATCTTCAAAGATTCTGATTCCATAACTATTTGGGTGATTTTTGTGAAAGTAATTGAGATCAATAGTATCTGGGCTTGTGCTTGTTAAGGTAGGCATCTTGGTAATAAGTTTGCTTAAAGACTAGACTTCGATTGACTTAGAAAAATTTTTCGTAATAAGACTTTAGAGAATTTTAGTATCGTAAAGTTAAATTTAACAAGGCTAGATACAAGCAGGGGTTGTTGTGTTACTACTGTGGCTAGTGTGGCTTGTGTAACCTTGTGTAACTATGTGTAACCCAAATTAGTCTTGGGTAGTACAAGAGTGTGGCTAGTGTAGCTAGTGTGGCTGGTGTAACAAAAGAGTTACATGTAACACTAGAGTACAGAGGTTGTATATAAATAGTAGTAGATAACAATAAATAAAAATAGCTTAGAATTAATAATTAAGTTACTATTTTAGGCAATTTGATTGATACAATAGAAAATTTAATTAAATCTAAATTTGGAAGTAACTTCCCATTACATGAAAAACAGGTTGAAGAAAAAAAGTTGGGGGTAAGGACAAAAAATTTTTACAAAAGAGCAAAAAGAGTTTTTTGTTGATAAATTAGTCAATATTAGGCCAAAAATCTTTATTGAAGACTTGTTCTGACCAGGTTAGTGAGCTTAACAACCTGTCTTAGAGCTACCAGATAGGTTATAAAAGCAGTTTTAGAGAAATAATTAAAAGTTTAAATTTTAAAACCAAAGATGGTTTTTGTAGCATTCTGCTACGAGTTTTCAAGATAAAAGCTTAAAACTTTCAGATTATATATAAAATTTTAAGCTGAGCAATTTTACTTAGAGTGCAAAAAGTAGTATCTTAATAAAATAATTTGTTATTAACAGTTTTTGACTGGTGAATTTTTAGTTAAATTTTGTGTAAGTGATTGGCAGAAAGAGTTTTTTCTTAAACAGCTAGTTTAAATATAAATTGTAATAATTTTAAATTATAATTGTTGAAATAAATATATATATGGGTATTATTTGGCTTTTTTTTCGATTTCAGCATTATTTTTCGAAAAAAAAATGGCAGAAAAACATCTTAGCAATTCAAATCCTAAATCTTCTAATAAAAAATCAAAAAGTTAAATAAAGGTAAAAAAAAAAATGTACCAAATCCAGTTAGATTTGGCACTACTTTAAGGAAACCATATTCAGAGATGAAAATGGAGTAGAAGTTCCTATTATTGTTTGCCAAATCAAAAAAAATGATGGTACTGACTGCAATACTAAATATAGTTATGCTAGCCAGTCAACTGAAAATGCAATCATTCATCTTCAGAACTTGCATGTAATATACAAAACTAGAAAAATTGAAGTTTGTATTTGTAATTAAAATATATTACTATATTAGTTAATATTTTTAATTAATATAAAAAAACCTTAATTTAGAATAATAACCAAATCCTTCCAAAGAATAAGCATCCTGAAGCTTGGCAGAATGAATTATGACAATCTCTTACGACCTAGATTATTAAAGACACGATGCTAATTCACATTGTAACAAGCTAAGCATTCCGTACATTTATACGAAACCTGGATCCTGCATTTATTATGCCATGTCAAGAAACTGTAAAAAAATTAATTTTTATAGCATATGATTATTGCCTACCAAAGCTAAAAAACTAATTAATTAGTGAAGAAGTCTCTGTGTCCCTGAGTATAGATTTATGAACAGTCCGCAGTGTCAAGGTTATATTGGTGTTACTGGTTCTTTTATTAATAATAGTTAGAAACTTTGTGAATTTGCCCTAACGATTAAATACGTTCGATATCCACACACAACTGAATGTATAAGTGAAATATTAAGTGCTATCATATATGAATGGAATCTTCATGATAAAATTTTTATTATCACCACTGATAACAGCTGTAATATTAAAAAAGCTATATTATACATGGAAGGTGCTAATTGACTAAACTATACTACCCACACATTGCATCTTGTTGTTACAAAGGGACTAATTTCAGTAAAAGTATTAGTCAAAAGAGTTAGACATTTAATTAATTTTTTCATGCATCCTAAACAAAGTGAAATACTTGAAGAAGTCCAAGCTAAATTTCCTGAAATTAGAAATACAAATATTTGGAAGATGAAAATGGCGACAATAATAATAATCATATTAATAATTTTGAGGTAAATATATATTTATATATTCGTTGTTGCTTATTTTCCTAATTGTCACTTCATCACAGGTCATTTACCCAGCATCACATAGTGTTAGGGTTAGTGTTTTTATTATATACGAGTATATATTAGTGGTAAATTATCACCTTATGTGATGTCAGGTAAATGGCCTTTTAGAGAGTGACCATCAGAAAAATTAGACGTAACCTTATTTATTATGAATTATAATTCTAATTTATTAGAATATCAGAAATGTACTGAATACTTGCATACTATTGCCGACTGTCCAATACGATGGAACTCATCTTATCTTGTGTAGAGTCGGCTACTTAAATTAAAAGACCATATTGGTCTTCTTAAAAATTTACTTTTAACCAAATCAGACTCTGATTCTAAAAAAGATTTTAAACATTTAAAAAAAATTTCACTTTATGATGACGAATGGGATGCACTCCATGACCTAGTAGAGATTCTTAAACCGTGTGCTGAAGCCACTAATTATTTAGGTGGAAGCAATTATTGTACCTATTCAATAATGGTTCCTACTTTAATTAAGCTTAAAAAAAGATATCAGCCATCAGTTTTCAATGATGATATTGTAGATGGAATTAATTATAAGGATGACGAAAACTTATTTGAAGATGCTGAAGAAGAGGAGATGCAAACTTATGCGCCAATTAATATAGATCTTGATGAGGTTAAAAGTAATTTGTACAATGCAATAAGCCACTATTGGCCCAATTTAACAACACTCAATTCACTTTTACCTTTTTTTTTGGACCCAGATGTAAAACTTTAGCTTTTGTCACATTCGCTGTACGGTTTGCTACTGAAAACTTGCTTCACAAAGAATACAATAAGATGAAAAATAATTTAGACAAAAATGTTAGGCCGGCAGTTAAATCAACTTCTACTGGAAAAAATGCTAAAAATAGCATTTTTTCCAGTTTCAAAAAACATAAACCAGCTACAGTTGAAGAGCTTTCAGATTATTTAAAGCTCAAGAAGATTGATTTTGACTGTGATCCTTTTGCATGGTGGCATGAATGATGTTATAAATTTCTAGTCTTAAGCCAACTAGCAAAAAAATATTTAGCTGTTTATTCATCTTCAACAGCTAGCGAAAAACTTTTCTCAGACACAGGAAATTTAATAACTGTAAAGAGAACTAAAATAAGCCCTATATTATTTAAAAAAACTAATGTTTTTAAAAAAAATTGAAAAATACTTGGATAGTATTTATCCATCTTAATATAAATAGAAATAATATGTAGAAAATAATAACAGAAATAATTGTAACATAAAAGGGTCAAATGTAATTATTTCTGCGTGGGTTTATAAAATAATAGAAATAACTGTACAGTATATATGTATACGTTACATATAGATATATATATAGAGTTGTGCATTACCATTATACAAGATTTTATTATAAATTTTGATTTTTATTTACAGTATATACGTACATACGTACTTATCAGTTGCATGTATGTACAAACCTTTATTATATTGATTTAGCACTGCTTAATTTCTTCCTAAATTTAAAACATTTTTAACAATGGGTATAGCCTTGTGATTTAGCATTGAAAGATTTACAGATAGGTATATTACGTATATATTGTTATCTATTGTTATAATTTTTAGATAATGCAATACAAACTTAATAAATCAGTTCGCATAACCTGGCCTGGTCAAATTTTACAAAACTTTAAAAAAATTTTAAGTATATTTACTATCTGAGTGGGTTTTTCTAAAAAATTTATAAAAAATTATATATATTTTTTATATATAAAATTTTTTTGAAAATAAAATTAAAAGCTGGGTTGCCGAGTCACTTTCAAAAATTTTATGTTATGAGAACCTATTTATTAAGTTTGTATGGTCTAATGGGTTGATATTTTTTTTCTAATTGCTGAACAATTTATCTTAAATTGGTATATACTGTAATGCTAGTTGTAGCATATATTATTA